ATTTAGGATTAAGGGGCACCTCTTTACCAGTAATTGAGTTATAAAATTAAGAAACTGTGTTGTATGCAATGGGGGTGAAATTATCTGATTGTGTTTATCAGCAATTCAGTCCTTCTATGAGCATTACATAAAAATGTGTGTGGCGATAGACTTCAGCTTGTATTTCCATGCACTGAAAAAAAACAGCAAAAAATGTTGTACAGAATGTTCACTGTGCAACGTTTGGGTGTGTGAGTTTAGCACTGCGTTAATGGAAAGTGAAAGTAACTTACAGTCTACTTATACATTCTCCAGTTTTACTCAAAAATCAAGCTCTTAGCCATGCAGCCTTTATACACATTTGTGAAAGAATGAGTCATTCTAAAGAGTTCACTGAATTTGAGCGTGGTGCTGTAATAGGATGCCACCGTTGCAACAAGTCAATTCACAAAATTTCTTTCCTTCTAGATACTCCATGATCAACTGTGAGTGGTATTATAGAAAAGTGGAAGCGTTCAGGAATTAAGAAACAGCGTTAGGGCTGTTTTGCAGGGGTGGTCTAGACCAGGGATGGGGGGTTAGCTAAGTAGCGCTCTACTTTTTGTAGCTAACTACAAATGTTTGTAGCTAATAGCTGTAGCCGCTACAGTTTCATGAAATGTAGCTAATAGCTGTAGCACCTACAAATGTTTGTGTAGCTATAGCGATAATTTTCACTATAATTTTGCTACAGGCTTCAGGCAATCAGCGCAAAATCTGAACCATAGAACGCAGTTGTTAACTGGGCTTCTGGCGATTGTGAAATCCTGACTGAGTCGCAGATAGTTCAAGCAAACAATCACACGCTGATCAGCCCTTACTAGGCTTAACTCGACAACCGAAACGTTAAGAAGAGCCATTTTGTCCTTTCAACAAAAAAAGTTAAACCATCTTGGGAGCCACAACATTGTATGTCTCCACCTTGGCTTTAAATATGTGCTGTATGGGCTGATGTACTAGTTCAGGCTAAACATATGATATAAATGAAAACGCAAACTTACTTTGCTCTGCTTCAAGCTTTAACTCAATGTTCAATGCTCAAATGTCTCTCAATGTTCGACTTTTTATGAGGCTGAAGTCGCTTCTCATTCGGCATGAGAAGCTGACTTCAGCTTGGTGAGTTGTTGCAGATTAAACGTATGAGGAAACCAGCTGAGTGATTATAAATGCAAATAAGTCGATTCATCTCCAAATTTTCGATGATCGTTGTAAATCTCTTTCTTTGCCTTTTCGGTATCTGCATCGCTGTGTCTCCAGCAGGCTGCGCGTCAGTCTTCAGCGTTAAAGGTTGGTGAATTAGCAGTTATGTGTTAACTCCAGCATTTAACATTTACTGTGAAAACTGTGTTAGAACTGTGTGTTATAATGATTTTACAGGAAAGGAGGATTATTATGTTATTTTACCTAAAAATCTAGTTCTGCTGTGGAGCCACAACAGCTCTGCAGCAGTGGAGAGATTATTCAGGCCTGATTCTCACCCCAAACAGAGTCAGGGTCACTGATGAGAATTTTGAGGCTAAAGTGTTGCTTAAGTTTAACAAAGGACTCTGAACGGCATGTCTGTATAGATCTTGCTGAAATGTTCAAATTGGAGCAGTTTTATTTCAACAGTTGACGACACTTTGCACAAAATTGTTTGGTTTGTATTCGGTTATTTTTGTTGATTTTTGTTAGGAAAAACCTGGAATAACTGACTTTGCCTTTATTTAGTCTAAATTTTTGTCGGATATCACGCCTTTGGTTGTGTAAGTTTGATTGTTAGTTACACTTAAACTCACTTTTGGGTGATCTTTTTTGTATATTTGCAGCTTTTCAATTATATGTTTCTTTCTGGCACATGATTAAATGCAGTGTCTTGTTCACACTATCAGTTGGGCTTGTTTGGTGTGTCAGGTGGAGATTCAAACATTCTGACAATCGTGCTTTGAAAGCAGCTAAATAGTAGCCAGTACTTTTTCTGGAAAAGTAGCTGGCTACTAATTTTTCAGTAGCTATCCCAACTCTGGTCAAGACCCCTTAGTTCCAGTGGAGGGGAATCTTAATACTTAAGCATACCAAGACATTTTGGACAATTCTATGCTTCCAACTTCATGGGAACAGTTTGGGGAAGAACGTTTTCTGTTCCAGTATGACTGAGCCCCAGTGCACAAAACAAGATCCCTAAAGGCATGGCTGGGTGAGTCTGATGTGGTAGAACTTGACTGGCCCACACAGAGGCCTCACATCAACTCCATCGAACACATACCTTTGGGATGAACTAAAACAGAGACTGTGAGCCAGGACCTCTCGTCCAACATCAGTGTCTGGCCTCAAAAATGCTCTTCTGGATGAATGGGCAGAAATTCCCACAGACACTCTCCAAAAACTTGTAGAAAGAGTTTCACAGTAAAGCGCGGTAAAATTAATGACGGTTAGTAGTACCGTTTGAACTTTAAAGTATCGTTAAAAACTCGCTGTACAGAGTCAAACAAAGGCAGAATCATCTCTTAGACGCAGCTCTGTGTGTGTGTGTGTGTGTGTGTGTGTAAAGGGGAAGGGGGAGAGAGGGAGAGGGAGAGGGAGTGAAGGGAGAACATGGCAGAATGTAGTGACAGAGATTCTGAGATATTTCAGCCTTCTAAGAAGACCAAGTCTGAGGTTTGGTCATATTTTGGGTTTTATAAGAATGCAGAATGAAAGTTAATTGAAGATGACCACCCGGTCTGCAGATGACCACCCTGTCTGCAGAACAGGCCGAAAGAAAATAGCGGTGAATGAGGGCAACACATCAAACCTTACGAGTCATCTTCGCGACCACCACCCGCTACTTTTTAGAGAATGCAAGGTTAACTTTAACGGAGAAGTCCGTAGGGACTGTCATGGTTTGTGTGGTTTAACTTATGCTTATAGTTCATTAATCATATAAAATGAAGCTTTTAGCGTCAAGAACAATCAGTGAATCAACTGTGAATCGAAACTAAAGCTTTTAACACACATTTCTGTGGAGCAGAGTCTCCAAAATGAGCTCTGAGTTAACTCACACAAGCTCTGGAACGAGACGCTGTTCAATCTGCACAGCTCCCCTTTCTCGTCTCGCTTGCAGTGTTTACTGTCTGAGAAGAGAATAACTGTCTCAAATCACTGTGTCCCCTACACAGTGCGCTACTTTTCAAACAAACACGATCATCATTAACAAGCAGTTGAGTTTTAAATAGGGAATTTGTGATCTGTTGTTAATGTTGATTATAGATGACTTAGTCAAACATTTCATGCACTCTTTGGGTGAAGGATTTGCTATTTCACACATAGAGAAGATGTGCTTTGAGACGGGACCTTGCGCAAGTAAACGCTGTGAGTGTTTCTGTCACAGTTCAGATGCTCGTTCTTTTTAAGTTATGTCTTTCAGAGAAGCAGCTCCACAGGGTGAAGACACACTGTGTGAGTTCTACACTGTCTGCAGCTCACAGCACGGTCACGCAATTCCTCTGCGATTTTGGCTGTTTTTCCTGGTGCACTGTATTGATTAGGGGTACAGCACCACAATGGCACAATAATGCTGCAGTTGCAGTTCGGACAGAAATCCCCAGAGCGCAGCACTTTTTAGAAGTAGTAATTTTCCATTAAGACCCACCTCAGAGTTGGTCCAGATTTAATTCTCTATGCAGGGAAATCCCTAATTATTGTAATTAATATAATATAATAACAGTAATAATATAATAATAATTACAACAGTAATAATAATAATAATAATAATTACAACAGTAATAATAATAATAATAATTACAACAGTAATAATAATACATTTGACAAAATATACTGCTTTCTTTGTTTACAGAGTATTGTAAGTAATACAAAAGTAATACTACAAATGTATTGACTATATTTTTTTAATGCTTATGCAAACAAAAATTGCATATTGCTGCCAATTCTATCTGTTTGTGAAACGAATTTCAGTTTGTCTATCAGTATTTATTTATTTATTTTACTTTTCAACGCTTTTGAACAATAGCGCGATAATATCGATAATCATGATAATTTTGGTCATGATAATCATGATATGAAATTTTGATATCATTTCATCTCTAACTCAGACCCCTCTAAACAGCCCCAAAAACGAACCAAACTGAGATCACCTCTCGAGACCCGCAGGCAGACCCGCAGGGTCATTTCTCCAATTTTGCGCGATGTGCTTCGGCCAATCGTTTCAGCACAGCCAATAGGAGAGCAGCAGGCGGGTCTGGTGGTTCTTCTCAGATTTATCAGAGAACGCTGCCCACTTGGCGATCGCTGTGCACACCGTGAGTGCTGTGAAAGGGGTCCGAGTTCTAGTGGAGTTGTGGTCTGAACAAGAAGTGGTCTAAGATTTCAAAGGACCAGAAAGAAAACTTACATTGTGAACACAAAAAAGAACTGAGGTCATTTGCAGTTGGTTCCCTTCCAGGTTCACTTTAACAGAACTCAGTTTGGTTCTTTTAAAACTAACTATATGTGAAAACACTGTAAGCTGTTATAGCTTTATCCTCTGCTCCCCTTTCTCGTCTCGCTTGCAGTGTTTACTGTCTGAGAAGACAATAACTGTCTCAAATCACTCAACGTCCCCTACACAGTGCGCTACTTTTCAAACAAACACGATCATCATTAACAAGCAGTTGAGTTTTAAATAGGGAATTTGTAATCTGTTGTTAATGTTGATTATAGATGACTTAGTCGAACATTTCATGCACTCTTGGGTGAAGGATTTGCTATTTCATGATCCACAATCATGAGGTTCTTTTAAAACGAACTATATGTGAAAACACTGTAAGCTGTTATATCTGCAAAGGGGAGACTAACTCCATATTAATGCCTACGCTAACGTTGAGAGAAGTTTTATTGATGCATTTACAGAAAAGATTTGGTTGACTATTGACTTCCAGTGTTAGCTCCAGCACTAAAAGTGTACATTAGATTTTCACATTTTTAGCTGAACGTCCTTATCATTAATGTTTCACAGTAATGCTTACCTTAAAGAGAAGCGGCAATGAAAACAGATAAACATGCACATCCAACAGTGACCCCAGGAGCAGCATACAGAACTGTATGTCCAACCCCTGTGTGCACAGAAATATTGAAGTCAGTTGAAAGTTAAACTAATTCATAAAGTGTTTTTCAGCTTAATAGGTTTTCTCCTAATATTAATACCGTTTAAAGTGCTTGGCATCACAGCTGATTTCTGAGATCCATATTCATTCTGAGCCACACAGTAGTAGGACCCTCTCTGTTGAACGCTGTAACTGTGTCCAGATCCTACAGGTGAGCTTCCACCTTCTTTAAACCAGGTGTAGTTCAGCACAGGTGGGTTTGCATTACTGCTGCAGGTCAGAGTCACTGAACTGCCCTTCACTCTTTCACTAGAGGGACTGATGGACACAGAGACGCTCTTTGGGCCATCTAGAAGTAGAAGGACACATTACACTTGCGGTCTCTTTTCTGTTTGAATAAGCAAGCAATAAATGTCCACAGGAAGGACACATTACACTTCATGGTAGTGCTTTTCTGTTCAAATACGCAAACTAATACATTTTTACAGAAATTCATGTTTAACTGCAAATATCCCTCATTAACTTCAGCAAGTGAAGATCACTGTTCTCACAGCTTTAGGAGTAATTTCATAAAAACTCTGAATGACTGTAATCAAACATTTTTCTTGGGATGAAAAATACACTTCTATCACCCTCACAAGAACCTCCACCTGGAGATCTGAGAACAAGAGAAAACAAACTCATACTGTGGAGAACTTAGATTAGCTGGATGAAAGGGTTAGTGTTAAAATAATAACACGAACATCACTGCATAGATATACAAGTAGCCTTTAACAGACATTTAGTTTTCATGCAGCTTCAATGGGACCTCAACCATAGTCATAAATCATTATTTTCCGTTTTATTTAATGTAGAATAATAAATAGTTAAATGTTTGTGTCATTGTTTTGCCCAAAAACTACTAAAAATGGAACAGGAGCATCCCTAAACTTTACCACTCATTAAAAATTTGAAGATCTACAAATATGCACAACTATGCAAATTGTAAACACTCCCTTGCTGCAAAACCCCTTCCAAATTGTAAACACTCCCATGCAAAACCCCTTCCCTTCCTGCCACTACCCCAAATCAAATATAATGGAGCAGAAACAAAAATAAGCTCCCTCTGTATCTTTAATAATCAGAAAGATTCTGTCTTAACCAGAGCCAGTTGATGCTGATATTACATAAGCATTGCAGGCTCCATGCTCTTACCACAGCTCTTGTAGTCCTGGCATGCAATGTCCTCTCATTAGCATATTTTAGTATATTCAACTGGGTCAAGCTCATTCTACACCTACAAAACTAAGCTGCTATGCAGTGGTCGCTTTCTTCAGATGTACTGAGAAAGTCTGTTTTCAGTGGAAAAATCTGAACTTCTAGTCATCTTCTCACATAATAGTCATCATTTTACTGTGACTCAATTTAGACATCAACACTACCTGCAGTCAGAGGATAAAACTTCTGATTTAGATCAGCACTTTTATTCTGACATGATAAAAACACTAAAAGATAAGAGTTATGAAACTGAACAAATAAATCAATACTTACATCTGACATTCAGAGTGACCTCAGGAGAGCGAAAGTTCTGACCCAGTACAGCACAGTGATACCTGCCTGCATCCTCCCTGCTGACCAGCTGCAGGTGGAGTTGGTCAGTACTGGAGGATAAACGATGTCCATTTCTGTACCAGGTGAATGTTGGTATGACTGACAGACTGCAGCTGGTTTTACATGTGAGAGTGACTTTATCTCCCTCTATCACTCTCTCAGGAACCTCCACCTGGAGATCTGAGAACCAGAGAAAACAGACTCACACTGTGGAGACTCACACTAGTTGAGTGAATGCATCATTTGTGTTGTAAATATTTCTGCATAAAAGTAGAACTGAAAATATATCATTGAAAATACTGATTAAGCCGCTGCAGTTATTGTACAAAAATTTAATTTAATACTTTTTAAAAATGTAATGAAGATTTGTTTACTTCTACTTCTCCTAATTGAGTCAAAGCCCGAGTCCAGGGCCCATATTTATAAAAGCATACGTAGAACAAGTTCTAAACCTGTGTGGCATCTTGCCCCAAAGGCCTAACTTTTCATAATCACTTTGAACATATACTCACACTTTTTCCTCTGAAAAAACAAAACTAATGTATTGCCCTCTTTAAAACTGGACATCAACAAAACTATTATTTTTGCTCTCTACCACAGCATGTTAGAGTTTAAATTAAATAATGAATATGAGCTCAAAGTGCAGACTTTTAGCTTTGAGGGTACTTGCATCCAAATCAGGTGAACAGTGTTGGAATTATGCCCCCCCCCTTTTTTTTTTTCAAAGGGCTCAAAAATAATTGGACAGTTGGCTGCTCAGCTGTCCCATGGCCAGCTATGTGTTAGTCCCTCATTATTTCACCTACAAGTAAGCAGATAAAAGGACTAGAATTAATTGTGTGTGTGGCATTTGCATTTGGAATCTGTTAATGTTAACTCTACATATATCAAGTCCAAAGAGGTGCCAATAAAAAAAGCCATCATTAGGCTGAAAAACTAAAATAAATCCATCAGAGAGATATCAAAAACATCAGGTGTGGCCAAACCAGCAATTTGGTGCATTCTTAAAAAGAAAGAACACAAAAAGAAAGATCACACTGGTGAGCTCAGAAACACCTGAAGGCCCAAAAGACCACAGAAAGCAACTGTGGTGGAAGACAGAAGAATTCTTTCCCTGGTGAAGAAAAACCCTTCACAACACTTGGTCAGATCAAGAACAGCTTCCAGGAGGCAGGTCTATCTGACTCAAAGTGAACAATCAAGAGGACACTTCACCAGAGTAAACACAGGGAGATTACCACAAAAATCTAAAAAGATTGTACAGTTCTACAGCAACATCGTATGGACAGATGAGACAAAGCTCAACTTGTACCAGAATGATGGGCAGAGAAAAGTGTGGAGAAGGGAAGGAACTGCTCATGATCCAAAGCATACCACCTCATGGTCATCAAGCATGGTGGAGGTAGTGTCATGGTGTAGACATGTATGGCTGACAATGGAACTAGTTCCATTGTACTTATTGATGATGTGACTGCAGGCAAAAGCAGCAGGATGAATTCTGAAGTGTACAGAGCTATATATCTACTGAGATTCAGTAAAAATGTTTCAAAACTCATCGGACTGCATATCATTTGCTTTGCAGATGGACCGGGACAGTGGCTTGAAGCACAGTGCAGAAGTATCTCAAAACTTTTTAATTAGGCAAAAAATAGTTTTTTTGTGCAATGGCTACATCAATCTCATGACCTCAATCCAATCAAGCATGCACTGTACTGAAGGCATAAATGTTGGTAAAAGACTTCAAGAACAAGCAGGAACTGAAGACAGCTGCAGTAAAGGTCTGACAGAGCATCAGCAGAGAAGAAACACAGCGTTTGCAACCAAGTATTAAAAATGACAATTTATGATTATGTTAGTCTGTCCAGTCACTTTTGAGCCCCCAAATATGGGAGGCTATGTATGAAGATGTTTGTCATTTCCACACTGTTCACCTGATTTGAATGTAAATGTCCTCAAATTAAAGCTAAAAGTCTACACTTTTATCTCATATTATTTAATTTCAACTCTAGTATGATGTGGTTTATGGACTCAACTGTACATTCAAAAAAAAAAATTGTTCCGCATTACCATTTCCCAGTGATTAATTATTAGATCAACTAACCCCAAAAAGTTTCCAGGGGAATAAATTCCAGGAATGCAGTGATCCAAATGAAATTTCAAAATGAAGACCATAGCCATACAGTTAATGTACTACTGCTAATACAGCGCTGTTAAACACCTCAGTGTGCTGACCAACTCTGACTAATGTACCACAGTTAATGAACTACTGCTAACACAGCGCTGTTAAACACCTCAGTGTGCTGACCAACTCTGACTAATGTACTACAGTTAATGATCTACTGCTAATACAGAGCTGTTAAATACCTCAGTGTGCTGACCAGCTGTTCTAAGCAGTGAGTTTCACAGGTGTGCTATGAAAGACTGATGTGATTATATTACAGAATTGCTTTGTGAAACCTGAACACCAGTGAATGAAGTACAGTGTCTTATTTCTGCTGATGGATCTTACCTGTGACCGAAAGATCAACTCCACCTGCCCCTTGATACTTTCCTCCAGGTTGGTCTGTTATAAATGTGAAGTAGTATTTACTTTGATCCTTTTCTGACACATTCTTCAGTCTGAGAGCGCAGTCCTGTTGTTTGTCTCCAGAATACTGAGACCTGCCTCTGTACTCTGGATCATCTAACAGATCAGGAGGCTCTGAACCAGATGTAACCAGCTCTTTAGTCCAGAAAGCTTTTTGGACTGAGTGACCACTTGGATATGAATAAAAGCACTCTATGGTCACTGCAGACCCCTTTAGAGCACAGAAAGATTTAGAGTTGTAATTCACAGCCCACCCATCCTGAGCAACAACTCCTGCAACACAAAATACAGATGTGTAATTTATTACTGTTTGAGTCTCAGTCAGTAAAAATGCTGCATAAAGTCTCCACTTCAGCTCCTTTATAAAACTGTTAATTTCAGCTGAGTTTGAATGTCAGTTGCAATAAGCTGAGCTCAAAAGCAAAAATTGAGAGGCTCGAAAGGTCTTATAGGGGCGGGGCTGTTGCAGAAAAGCTGATATTAACACAATGCACAGAACTGTTAACCCTAAACACACATAGTACACTTGAGCATATATATATATATATATATATATATACACACATTCAATTCCATGAACAAAATATCAATTTTTAGACTAAAAATGAAGAAAAAAGCATAATAGGCTGTTCAAAAAAATAGCAGTGTCTGCATTTTCATTTACAAACTTGAATATTTACAGTATAAACTGAAATTTGTTTACAGATTTAGCTTTTCTGTTAATCACTGAACTAATATTTAGTTGTATAATCTTTATTTCTGATAACTGCTTTACATCTGTGTGGCATGGAGTCAACTAACATCTGACACCTGTAAAGAGATATTCCAGCCCAAGCTGACTGGACTACATTACACAGTTCTTCTGCATTCTTGGGTTTTGCATCAAACTCAGCATTTTTGATGTTGCTCCACAAATTCTCAATCGGATTGAGGTCTGGGGATTGGGCTGGCCACTTCATAACATCAATCTTGTTGGTCTGGAACCAGGATGTTGCCCACTTGCTGGTGTGTTTAGGGGCGTTGTCTTGCTGAAACACCCAATTGAAGGGCATTTCTTATTCCGCATAAGGCAACATGACCTCTTCCAGTATTCTGATATATTCACACTGGTCCATAGTGCCTGGTATGCGATAAACGGGCCCGACTCCAAAGTATGAGAAACATCCCCAAACCATTATGCTTGCACCTCCATGTTTTACAGTCTTCACAGTGTACTGGGGCTTGAATTCAGACTTTAAGGGTCGTCTCACAAACTGTCTGTGGCCTTTAGACCCAATAAGAACAATCTTGTTCTCATCTGTCCATAGAATGTTGTGCCACTTCTTTTTAGGCCAGTCAGTGTGTTCTTTGGCAAACTGTAACCTTTTCCACACGTCTTTTTTTCAGCAATGGTACTTTACGGGGGTTTCTTGCAAATAGTTTGGCTTCACGTAGGCGATTGTTGCAGTACTCACAGGTAACTGAAGATCTTCTTTGATTTCCCTGGAGCTGATCACTGGATGCTTCTTTGCCATTCTTGTTATTCTATGATCTACGCTGATGGTAGTGTTTCTTTTCCTACCACATGTTTCGGGGTTTGTGTGCCATTTTAAAGCATTTGAGATCATTTTAGCTGAGCAGCCAATTATTTTCTGCGCTTCTTCATATGTTTTTCCCTCTCCAATCAACTTCTTGATCAAAGTTCTTTCTCCTTTGGTACAATGTCTGGAATGAGCCATTTTACTCACTGAGCAAGGGCTAAAACCAGCAGGTACAACATTTGCTGGCCTCCTTCTTTAAATAAGGGCCATAATTGACACCTGTTTCTTCACAGAATGAATGACCTCACTAATTGAACTCCACACTGCTATTAATTTGAACACGACCCTTTGATTAAATGAGTCAATTACACCCAATTAGCAGCGTGCATGTCATGACTGTTGATTCTGTTGGTTGCCCATTACTTGGCTACACGTAGTCATGAATTTTTTCCCATGTTGTATTACTTTTTCTGCCAAAATCAGTAATTAAACACATTAGTGTTGTTAGACTGCTATTATTTTGCACAAAACTGTATATATATATATATATATATATATATATATATATATATATAATGTGTGTGTGTGTGCGTGTGTTTTTTTCTCTAACTTTGTGGAGTTTTGATGAACCAGCTCTGACTCACCTGAGAACAGCAGAAACACCAGAGAGACAGTAAAATTCATCCTGAGTAAGGTCAGCATAGCAACCTGTAAGGCAAGGCAAGTTTAAGTGACACATATTAGCCCCACAACGGGGAAATTTCCATCGCACTTTCATTATTATTTTAATAAAATAAAATAATACTAGTATTTTAATAGACATTATTATTTTTCTATAATGAAATCAAAAATCCTTAACTATGAAAACATTTAACTGTAGAACATGTCCAAATATTTACAGTAACATCAAGGAAAATCCTGTGGATTGGACATCTTTTTCCATAAACCAAATAATGTCTATTGATTCTAAAATCAAAATAAATGAAAATGTTACATGACAAAAAAAGAAATGAAATAACCACTGAGAAAGTTTTCACAAACTGGAACATTAATTAAAGCCTATTTTCATCATTTTGCATGATCAGTTTTTAAGGTTATATGCATTGCTGTGCCAGTGTTTGCCTAAACTAACTGGGGAAAAAGCAAATATCATTGTATAAAACAAGGAACGTTTTTATAAATCATCTAATAACCAAAACAAGTTAATAACATTGCTAATGCAAATGTCAAAAAATTTTAAATTACTCCAAAGACAGATTTGTCACCTGAACGATGCACTGACTTACAAATAATAGACTGGAGGCAAGAAAAAAGTGAAACATGTCAGACATCAGGCAAGTTGATTTGAACCTACTTTTATCTCTCTACATGATCAGTTATTAAAGTTATAGTCATTTTATGCATGTTTTTCAGTATTTGCCCCAAAAAATGAATGTCATATTATTGCACCTTAAAATGTGAGAACTGTATAAATAGAAAAGAATACCAAACTGTGTTTGTGAAAGTTTTCACAAAGAAGATAATGCCTAAAACAAATGACATTCCACTGCTTTTATTATTTTACATAGTGTTGTCTACATAGTCATGCCTCCAAACATTCAGCTTTTTATTGCCAAAACTTATTAATAAAGGACTGCTAGACATACAGTTGTGAAATATTTCACAAATCAGAAAAGCAAATTTATGTCTGCTGTTATCAGGTAACAACCAACACTGCATGATTATTGGTAATGTACATATATTAAACTGTGTTCCAAAAGTTATTTTTCAGCTTTGCTGTGCAAAAGCTTTTTAATCAATGACTGACGAACAATTCTGGCCTGTTTTCATCCCCTACTTGTGAATTACTGGCCAAATAATAGAAATACCCAAATCCAGCTCTGCTAAATCAAACAGGTTTTCATAGATTTTGAGGTCATTTGTAGTGAAAATTACCTGCCAAAGTAAAATAAAGGCTTATATTTCACTTACTTTCACTTTCCTTGCCCACAGTCTACACAAGCCATAACAAGAACGGTGAATTTTTTCACAAATGGTCAGTTGGTCAGCTTGAACCTGGTTTAAATCATCAACTTTTGAAGTTGTAGGCTTTAGAAAGTAAGGCCCTGGTGTGTGAATGACGTCATCTCAATTCACAAACCAGTAATAATAAAACACACCGGTGTTTGCAGACGTGCATTACTGCATTCTGGAGTTACAGCCGACTGAAGCCTGAATCGCTAACCTAAAGCCATCCAGGGTTCATACACATTTCTATCAATACATTTCCATGACTTTTCCATGCCTTCGAGGCAAATTTTCATGACCATACATTCTCTGAAATGTCTGTGTAGACATGAAGAATAAGAATAAAAATCTGTCAAAATGTATCACAACATATCTTAATCAAAATTAATGACATGCTATGTGGTTTGATACAGAAGTAAACATTTATTTAATATATTTCTAACTGTTTAGCCTGTAAATTGTGGTTCAGGCTTTCATCAAATAACACAACATACAATCTTTGCTTCGATACTTTGGACAAGGTCAGATTCTTAAAATGAGGAGCCAGACCAAATGCACAAATATATGAGCACTTGCGTTCACTGCACACAAATCTGGCAGCTGTCTGGCTGTTGGGGAACAACATGACTTGTAGGAATGGTGAGAACTAGCCACCTTTAGCAGCCACGGTACCTCTTCAGTGAAGGGCTTTGTTTCCGGACACAGCACTCGAAATGGTGCCTTGTTTGATGGCGGACGAGAGGGAAGCACTGCAAGTGGCAGAGGGTGTCACGTTGGTCACTGTGGGCGAAAAAGACGGTGATGGGTTTGAGAGTTGATTCGCGCCCAGAAGCAGCAGCCTGGTGCAGCTCCTTTAGCATGGCTAGCTAGCGCTGCTTCTCCCCTGTTCAAAATGTTGGACTGTTTTACTACACAGTGCACCTTTTGCACGTCCCGGGTCCTGGTCTTTCTCAAGCCATGCCTTATATCAGTCCAAATGAAGCCAACCATTATTAAATCGGCATTTTCCTGGCATTGCGCAGACTTACACCTCGTCAAAGGAGTCTGACGTTAAGTTACCCCACACAGAGAACAACAGTGTCGAGTGACGTGACTGATCTATTCAACATTGAAGTACTGCTTAACCAATACACATTTTCCCGGCCGATTAACTGGACGTCATATACAGGTTTTTGTGAAGCAAATTTCCATGACTTTTCCAAAACTTGGTTAATTAATTTTTCCAAAACTTATCCAGGCCTGGAAATTCCATGACTTTTCCAGCTACGTTCAGACACACCTCACACCCCAACATTTAAACAACTTTACACTGATAAGAGAGTCAGTCACAGCCCGACTGTGCAAGCTAACATGTACATTTACACTACTTAATGCTAGCTAGGCTAATTATAACACCTCAGCATGTAAACAATGTGAACTTGTAGATAAACGCAGTTCATATTTACCCCAGCTTGTCTAACTGAACTGTAAACCAACGATATAGAGGGTTGGTATTTCACCACCAACCCCTCGTGTTTGGTGTTATACGGAAGAAAAAAAAACGTTTTTTTGCTTGTTTTGCTTGAAGCCACCGTTACTCACATTTCTACATAGCCGTCTTATCCGCTGTCCAATGATCTCAACTGCCCGATTCGGACGACGCATGCGCACACGCTGTCTAAGGCGGTGTCTGAAACTGAAGGCTGGGTAGTTTCCCACAAGGCAGCGTTGTGACAAACGTACCTTGCAACTACATCGCGTTTAAGACGCGCTTCAAAGGCAGCGGATGATCACGCTGTGGCCAAGATGTGACACCTGACTGTTGGCTGTTAGAGTTAACATCTTTTCCCTGTCTTTTAAGAAGGGTGGGATACATCTGTGCTGCCTTCGAAGAAAGCGAGCAAACTGAGGAACCCCAGGCAGCATTAACCTACATAAACTCTCAATTCAGGCCTCAGAACACTGTATGAACAGGCAGCATTTATTACATCTCAATATCATGCAGCCGTTATACAGTAGAGGAAACGACATGCTTTTTCGCGCATGCGTGGTCCCCATAGATGTACGTGCGCAGATGATGCGTTGTCTGTTGTTGTCTATCTGAGGCGATGCGTCTGCGCGTCCGCCATGTTGGAGCGGTCAAAAGCCCCTGGTAAACAAATACACGTGTATTGCAATAAGGTGGTCTCAGGATTAAATAGGCCCAAACTTCCTTACTACTCAACCGATTTTCACCAAGTTTGTTTTGTTGTAATCCTCACATATTAACACAGATCCAGATTTATTTAGGTTGCATAGACTGCTCTTGGTCGCCTTAACTGTGATTGTGTCAGTTAGCTGTTTGGAGCAGCAGGTACAAGTGTATCGTTAGCTTCAAACAAAAAACGAATGTTTTTTTGTGTCTAATATCAAATACGAGGGATTTATGGTGAATTGCCAACCCATTATATCTGTCGTTTATGGTTTTGACAAAATGAAGTATATAATTTGGTTCTGTTTACAAGTTAGCAGAGTTCATGTTGAGGTACTATGAGTAAGTTAATTTAAATGAACGCGTTGGCTTGCAAAATCGGTCCGTGCATGAAAGTAAAATTCTGTTTTTTTCGATCTACAACATCAAACCCAAGGAGTTTTGCTGTGAGCTACAAACTAATTTGTCTATCGTTGATTACTAGCTGAGGTAAACACAAAGCGATATGGTTTATAGCTGGCAGCGTTCACAAACTGAGCCAATTTCAGTTAGTGCTAACTAATAGCTGCTCAGCAGTGCGTGAACGTTCTCTCAAGTTGTAAAATGCTGCTGATAGGCAAATAGCAAGTGAGGCCTTGTTCACCAGGGGACAAAAACCTGCAAGGAAAAAACCTTTTCCTTATTTCCCTATCAAGTGACAGATGATTTAAATGATCGTACACTTTGTTTTGAAGAGGAAAGCTTCCACTGTACTTTGTTAACTGTCTTGTGTGCATTGTGTTGTAGAGCCTTTGTGGTGGAGCAGAAGTTAGAGTGGAAGGTTTTTCTCAGCCACGTGAAGTGGGACACCATCAGAGTAAAATACAATATACGCTGCTTTTGTTAAGATTACAAGCAAAATGTCAGTGAAGTGTTAATGATTTGCATCATGTTGTTCCCTGCATTGTGTTTGTAAATTTTGTAGGAGCGTTTGTATCTGCTTTAAGTATGCTGGAAATGATATACTGAATGGTGGTGCTGAACCCTCACCACTTCCAGTCAGAGCAGCGAGTGATGTACCTGTTAGGAACTGCAAAAAGAGGTAAGCTTGTGGCAGCTGGTGGGAGATATGGAGGAGAGAGGGACAATGAAAGGAAGCAGAAAGGGAGGCGAGACAACAGAAAGCGGTTGAGGAGAGGAAGGGCAAGAAGGGGCAAAAAGAGAAACAAGCAGGTAGTGAAAAAGAGAGCAGAACAGGAGGCACAGAGAAAGCAGAAAAGAGAATGTGAGCTAAGAGAAAGAAAAGGTTTCTTCATCTTTAGACATGCTTCTCAAAAAACTAAACACTAAAATGAAACAACTGCAAAGTCCACTGTCATTTTTACATTTTGTGAGAAAACGGAAGTGTTTGAGTTTGTGTTGATGCAAAGTCGTGGTGTACATTTTGATTTTTACTCCCAGTATTCACAAAGTAGAAAGAACCGGTATGGCCTTGTCCTGATCTTGTAAATATGAGTTTGGTTTATTTTATTTTATTATCTATTTTTTATAGGAAGACATTCTAATGTTTGTAACTGACACAGGCATCTGCTATTTAGTCAGAAACGTGAGATTGCTTTCTGTGATGACAGCCGTATATATGTAGATAAAATAAAAATGGACCAGTGGAAAAAGGTAAACAGTCTCCACTGCAGTGGACTTAAAAGTAGCATACTGGGCTGAAATGATAAAGCAGGGATTAATGGGGAGGAGACGAATTAATATGCATGTAAAAGATCAGAGAAACATGTATAAGCATCCTTCTCATTTAATGTCCATTCATATAGCATGCTCTGCATTGTAACTACTTGCCTACTTGCAAAAATAGCCTTTTTAAATGCCTATGGTTATATAAAACAGAATTTATAGTTTATTTTTAAGTTAAATAAATGCATCAGAACAAATAGTGCAGTTTGCACGAGTCATATGCTTTAGCATTTATTGTTACATCATTGGTTATTTATAATGAATTACAGTCTCTCAATGGGCACATCGGTTTTATATTATTACTGCTGATATTTAAAATATTGCTTCTTTTATTTATCTTCTCAAGTTCTTGATAAAACATGACTGGCCTGTCAAAACATGACTAAGTAGATGATAAGTACCATAACGACGTATAGAAGGAAAAACATTTTGGTCAGTAACGCTATTTAAACGTTGGCGTTAGTGACAAGACACGTTGGTTAGGTGGTAGATGCAGTGCGTCCGAGAATGTGTGAATACTGCACACTCACATAATGAAAGTACGTACTTTAATGGTCAAGTAGTACATACTGGATCGAATTTAGTATGTACTGCTTAAGTATGATATTTAGGATGCAGCCAGAGAACTTGTAGAGAGGAGAACTACCGCCCTGTCATGTCTTCTGGGTTTCTCAAACGTTAGAGGATGCTCCAGAGCGAGTGCAAAATTAATGGGATAAGATGGAGCATTTGAGCAAAATCACAGTTTATAAATGCCTAAATATTTTAATACAAAAAATACATTCGTTTCCTGAACATAGAACAGCATAAACATTTTAACACCACCATGACATCAGTGAGCGTGAACAGCCAATGAACTGCTCCGCTTGCCAACCAATCAGCACTCAGTACTAGTAATGTTAGCATTCTGCTGCCCAAAATCCTTTAGCTGTAGAAAAAAGGAAATATATAGTGAAGTTTTCTCTGCTTTTTTAGTGAAATACATCCTTCTACTTTCTAAAATGAAAGGAAAGTTCTGGGTGAGTGATTAGAAACTATTTTAATTTTTTGCCTTTTAGCTCCATTCAACCCCATTCATTGAGGCTCGCAGTCACCCTCTGGCATTTTGCAGTCATGTTTTTGATATAACGGGGGACATAAGAAAAGGCCAGGCTCCTCATAAACCAGCTCGGCTTCTGAGTCTCTCCCGATGAAGTATGTCATCCAGGGAATTATCGCACACTGTTTGGCAAATTTGAAAAGTACTACAGTTGAGTTATAGTGACAAATATATTTCTCACTTAAGTTCAATTAAATTCACTGTAAAGAAACCACAGTCAATAAGTTTCTCTGCAATGAACCATTTCATATCAAAACGCTCTGAATGACTTTTTTATTATTTACATCACAATGAATTAATTATACAGAAATTGGTGGAATTCCACTTCAGCTCCTATTTCACACTGATTAGAACAGTGATCTCCCTCCCTGGTCTTGGAGAGCTTCCTTCCTGCAGAGCCTAGTTCCAATCACAATTTGCCACACCTGCTTCAGCTAATCTACCTCTTCCATTTCCCTGATAGGCTGGATCAGATGTATTAGAGTTAAATAAGGGGCAGGGAAGCTTAATGGATAGAGGAAAGTAGCAGGAAACTAGCTCTCCAGGACTAGGGTTGGAGACCACTGGCATAAATATTTCCCATATGGTAAAAATGTATCAAATGTATTTGTCAAATATATTTTTGCAATGTATGAAAATGACCAAAAGTGTATTTGTTAAATATTATTTTCAAAATGCATTTTAAATGTATTTTCCAAATAGATTTTTTCATACCAATGTATGAAAATAGCCCAAAAATATATTTTATGTATTTATATATATTTTTAAAAAATGCATTTGTTTATATTTGTTATTGTATTTTTTCAGTTGTATGTAGTTTTAACAAATGTTAGAGATATAACTAAATGTATGAATGAATGGTACTGACTTCTGTGTTTTGCATTGTTCTTTGCATTAACCATATACGTATGTCGTAAGACAGCACTCATACAAAATGCAATTCAAATAAACAAGATGTTAAATCATTAAACTGACTTTTCACAGTGCATCAATACCTACAACTTGCTTTTTCATTGTAAAGGTTCATTTGGTATCACGTAAAATTAAGATACTGGAATACAAATTAGTTTCAAAAGGTTTCCAAAGAGTAAAGTGCATTACACAGTATTTTGGGTATCAAATGCTTTTGATAAATACACTTACATACATTTATTTTTGTATAGTAGATTTTATGTGTAATGTTTCCCCATTAATTTTCGAATAAATGTATTTTAAAACATATTTGGCTAATGTGGCAATATAAACTGAAATACATTTAGTATTTGGATTGTATTTTGGCATGGATTGCAATGTATTTGAAATGTATTTCAAATATATAAAAATACATGTCCATATATATATTTTTTTTCCATATGGGTTGCGCTACTACCACTTGATCTCAGTGCTATGTTTGATACCATTGACCATAAAATTCTTATAGATAGACTTGAGAACTGGATTGGGCTCTCAGGAACTGTTATAAATTAGTTTAGTTCATACCTGCAAGGCAGGAATTACGTCAAAGTAGAAAATGTGTCGGAGAGCATGCCAGTGACCTGTGGTGTCCTCCAGGGTTTGATTCTTGGGCCAGTCCTATTGAATTTTATATGTGTAAAGATAAGAGCAATATAAGGGCAATAATAGCAATTTAACTTACTTTTCTCTCATACAC